AGTCTTTGCCATGATTGGTGTTGAGTTTGCTTTCCTGCAAAGGAATTTCCCGTTCTTCTTTCCTGGGTGGAGTTCACTGCTGCCTACGCCACGCTCTGCCCTTTCATGGAGTTTTGGAAGGGCTCACTCTTCCTTGTAAAAATGGATGACTTTACCACTTGATGTGGTGTGTCTCACAAGGATTTTAATTAGAAGCTTGGTGTCTGGTGTGGCAATATTAAGAGGTGGTGGGACTTTTATTTCTAGGTGTTTTAATTTTTGTGTTATTGTTTTAATTTTCGTGTTATTGTATCTGCAGACACATTAGGAGAGGTTACCAGCAGGGTATTAATATTTCCAGAAAACAGATTAAAAATTTTCCCACTTGCATGGGGCTGCTACAATATCTGAGCACCAGAGACTGGGGTAGGTAATGAAAAATGCATAATCCAGTGGCCTGGAAGATAATGTGTGCCGGCACATATCACTGGACCAAATAGTTGTAATGCTGAAAGAACCACAGGGCCACATGTGGAGGGTGCCCTTTACAACTGGCCATGAAGCTGGAGTCCCAGCAGTCAGGAAGTGGAGAGAAGCTGGAGTGAAGGTGTCCATGTGTCCTTCAAAGAATATTCAAGGCACACAAACTGCAAAAGGAGCTATTTTTAAAATTCTGGATGCTTACTTGACTGAACACAAAGAATTGAACACCATTGCAGAGGAGGAGTTATCTAGAGAATTGCAAAATGCCTTGGCTCTGCCAACAAGCACATCTCATTTCTGACACATGGTAGAGGCCAATGCTGCAGGGGAAGCACATGGGGTGCAGCTGTGTTGGGGAGACCAGTGATGGGAGTTAACAGATGAGGACCTTCCACAACCTCATGGCATCATCAGCACAATCTACTTGCCTCCCTGACAAAGCGGAGGGTGTCTAGGAAGACCAAACTGCACTTCACACTTGTCCACTCAGGTGTGGTTTTATTCTAGGAGTTAACTAGCTTACTTATACATATGAATGTATGCCATGTATGTAGGTACAGGCTCAAATTCATCATCATGGATACATAAGCAAAGAAATTCTTCAGTTCTGTGAAAATAAACTTTTTCAAAAATTATTGATATGTAGAAATTCTTTGTGAACAGAACTTTAATCCTTATTGAGAATATGTGTGGAATACAGAGAAGAGTTGCTAAATACATATTATATATTTTATTAATCAGGTTGTATTCAAAAATAGAAAGCTACTTTGGAGAGTTATGCAGAAGCTTG